TGTTTAGACATGGTGGTGCACACCTGTAATCCCAGCACTCGGGGGGGGCAGAGGCAGGCAGATGGCTGTGAGTTAGATGCCAGCCTGGCCAACAAAGCTAGTCCAGGACAGCCATGACTAAACAGAGACACGCTGTCTCAAAAAAAAAAAAAAAAAAAAGCAGAAAACAAAAGAAAAAAAATGTTCTGAGCCTCTTTACTGCATAGTAAGCAGGAGTTTACTTTCAGGGGTGTGGTGGTGATATCATGAAACAGTGGCTTATAGTAGTTAATTAATCAATTGATATTATATTGGAGGGGAAAAATAAGTACTACACCTGATGTGTCTCCCTGGCAACAAAGCAAAGTAGTTATTAATGGCTGAGAGTTCTGAGTTCTGAAAGGTTAGCGGAGGTGCCTTTTGTGTGTCAGCTTCTCCTGGGTGGTGTGTTGAGTTTTCTCGAGTGATTATTGCTCACTATAAAATGTTGCCAGTGGGGAGGTTAGTTCTCAACAACGAAAGTGAATTCTTGAAGTAGTATGGTCTTAGAGCTTACTTATACCCCTTCCTGTCACCAGCTGAAGCTCGAGTTTTAAGGTTGCAGGGGTGCTTCAGTTGGTAGAGTGCCAGCTATGGATGTGATAATCTGCATTCAGATTCTCTTGCTCATGTAAAGAGCAAGGCACATTCCTATGACATAACATATTCAGGTCAGAGACAGGCAGTTAACTTGAGCCCATTCAATGGGTAGCCAGCCAGCCTGGCAGAATTGATGAGCTCCAGGTTTAGTGAGAGATCCTGTCATAAAAAAAATAAGGTAGACAAGGAATAATATAAAATAAGGAATCTATCTAGCATCAGCACCAACCTCTGACCTCCATGCCAAACACCATGTGTACATATGCAAAACTCAATTGTGCTTTTCTTATATTATTTGTCTGTTTGTTATAAATAGTCTTAGCAGGGAAAGAAAATGTTTATATTGATATTTATGCACATAAATTTTCTTACTTTTCACCTCATTACCGTAACTAATTTTCTAGCAAAACATACTGTTTATTATCCAAATGTGGGCTGGGAGCTCAGGAATATTAGAACAGGTATATTGTCACAGAAAGGTATTTCTGCTGAGCAAAAGCCTTTACTGCCAGAACTTTATGCAACCTTGTTGTCTAAATACCAGGTTTTTTTATTCCCGTAGGAGGCAGCCTTCTGTGCTGTGATTCTTGCCCTGCTGCTTTTCATCGTGAATGCCTAAATATTGATATCCCTGAAGGAAATTGGTATTGCAATGACTGTAAGGCAGGCAAAAAACCACACTACAGGGAGATTGTGTGGGTAAAAGTTGGTCGATACAGGTGAGTAATCATGACAAAAAAGGGTACTAATTTCTATTATCATCTTCTATTTCTGGGGTTCTAGATAATTAACTTTTAAAATGCTCGTTAATGTTTAGGCATAATAGTTTCAACTCCAATCAGTTGTTCTCTATAACAAAAAAATTAAATATAATTTTTAGTTCTACAAAAACTGTGTGTTGTAGCACATTGTTTACTGAAGTAAAATAAGCTCATGCTCTCATAAGCAAGGAAGATGCACTGTTAACATTTCCAAGTTTTACTTGCAGACATGCACAGTAATGCCCTTCTCTACCAGATAACTGTTTATAATTTATACCCAGTTGTTCATTTTGTTTTTGTTTTTGAAGTTTTGATCTGACTGGAAATGCATAAAAGTGCATAACACAAATATGGTTTTGTTTGTTTGATATTAAACAAAGTTTCATTATATATCCCTGGCTGGCCTCAGACTCATAGAGATCTGCCTGCTCCTGAATCCAGGCAGGTAGCCAAATAACATAAATGATTTCAACATACAACAAAAGCACATTATGGTTATATATTTCATAAATTTTTAGAAGAGAAGTAGGTTGGTGGTGTACCCTGTATTCCTAGCACTTGCAAGCCTGAAGCAGGGGGATCACAAGTTCCTAGCCAGTTCTGGCTCTATAACAAGACCATATATCAAAACAAGCAAAAAGTGGTCTATTAGAGAAGCTTGAAGGTTATTGACACATAGAAAAAGATGGAAATATCATCATGGTTAGATAATTACTGAGCGTTTCTATTTTTGTTTTTGCTTTTGAGTAAGGGTCTTAACTCTGTAACCCTGGCTGTCACCAAACTTGATGTGTAAACCAGGCAGGTCTGAAAGTGACAGAGATCCACTTGCCTCTGCCCCTGCCTTTGATTCCCCCTTGGGATTAAAAGTATGCACCACCAAACCCAGCCAGAACATTTTCTTTAAACTACAAATTGTCTAGTCTGCTACTCTTGATGCCCTTAATGTTGAGCAATTTTATTTTTTCCTATTTTTCTTGTCATGTTTTTGTTTCTCTTATTTTAATTAATTTTTTCTAAATTGATTGTGTGTGGATATGTGCATGTGAGTACAAAGGCTCTGTGACACTGGGAATGGGACAACATCTGTAGAGCAGCAGCATGTGCTCCCAGCCAGCACTGTCAGCTGTCACTTCATTTTCACAGAACAGTCTTCTGTAAACATTAGAGTAATAAATATTTGTGTGCCGCCATGATTTCCATGAAGTAACTAATCTAAGAGAGTATTTATTTATTTATTTGTGAGTGAAGCTGTTAGTTCAGGCTTCTGAGACTTTTTCCTTGTTTGTATTGTCAGTTTGTAAAATTGCCATGGCTTGGGAGCTGAGGACATGGCTGAGTGAGCAAAGTGCTTGTTGTGCAAGTCTGAGGACTAGTGCTCTAAACCTAGCCACCCCACAGTGTGAGGCCGGTGTGTAGCCCACTGCAGCCTTAGCACTTGGGAAGTAGAGAAGGATCCTGAGGGCAAAGTGGCTAGCTAGACTAGAAAGGACTAGTGAGCTCCAGGTTCAGCTCAAGAACCTGCCTCAGGAAGTAGAATGAATGAATGCTCAGGGGCCCAGGACAACCCAGTGTTCGCTTTGGGCCTCTACACTAGTGCGCACACTGTACACACATAGCGCCCCCCAAAAGGCCAGTAGCTTATTTTCCTAGTGCCTTTGCGTCCCTGCAGAGGTTTCCAGTCTTCTCTGTACCTTTTCCAGGTGGTGGCCAGCCGAGATCTGCCATCCTCGGGCTGTTCCCTCTAACATTGATAAGATGAGACATGACGTGGGCGAGTTCCCTGTCCTCTTCTTTGGGTCTAATGACTATCTATGGACTCATCAGGCCCGAGTCTTCCCTTACATGGAAGGGGATGTGAGCAGCAAGGATAAGATGGGGAAAGGAGTTGATGGAACATATAAAAAAGGTAACTTTACCCTTACTATTTGTCAGATGAGCAGAGACTTCTACAGCTGAGTGTTGCCTCTGTGTTTAAGTTGATACAATGGGTCAGGATACCTAAGGTATTGTGGTGCCTACTTGTAATCCCAGCACTCAAGGCTCAGACAAAAGTATACCTTCTTCCTATAGTTGTCCTTTAAAAGACAATCTATTTATTGCTAAATGGATATTGACGCTTAGGCCTTTGTCTACAGGATGAGGAGAAAAGGATTTTAAGGAATGATGCTTCCTAGAGCAGTACCCATGTTAGCTGAGAATAGAGCAGTAGTTCAGCAAATGTTTTATTTACCCTGTGTTCTTAGACCCCTATTTGCCATATGGTTACTCTGGAAAAACCTGGAATATTGGTACTATACTATAGGAGCCTGAATATTGAGTCTTGTCATTCCAGATAGTCAGTGACTACAGCAGCGCCATTTTTTGCCCATGTAAAACTGGCTCATTGAAGACAGAGGAGAAGACAGAGAGTGGGAAAGGCCTGGGTCTGAGTCTGCTCAGGGTTTGGTATATTTTGTCATTATACCTACCTAGGGGCCAACTAAATATTTAGCCCTCTAGGAAAATGTTTTTTGTGGGAGAATCTGATGTAGGTATCAGAAGTCAGAATGTCACTCTGTAGCTGTTAAGACAGAAGTGTATGGCATGCTGAGCGAGAAGTATAGGCAATCTGGGAATTAAATGTTTTGAAGTTGTAGATGTTTGTGTCAAGTGATGCTTTCAAGAACGAACCATAATAATAGTTATCATTAATTGGTGTCCAGGCCTATGAAATGTTTGCTTTCTGACTTAAGTTTTTATGGCAACCTTATGAATAGAGGTAGCACCTTGAACTTTGCAGATGTAGAATTGGCCATATAAGAGTTACGTAATTTCCCTGAGGTCTCTATTTAGCTCAGTCTATTTAGCTCAGTGTAGGAATGTTTGGCTGTAATTTCAATTTAGACTGAAATTCCAATATTTTTCTTCTTGTTTTTGAGACAGGATCTCACTCTATCTGGAAAGATGGGTGAAATAGGTGGTTTGGGTAGTTGTGTGGAATACAAAGATAAGATAATCACAAGGGATTCATTATGGCTCAGAGGAGAGAATTTCTTAAAAGAAGTAACAGCATAGAGAAAAGCTACAAAAAGAAAAGAGGAGGAAAATTAGAATTGTCAGTTTTATTCTGTTGAAGCACAATGAATTAAACATTTAAGTTGAGAAAATCAGTCAGGTTTTTTGGATTTTCAGAGGTTGGAATCTTTTAAGGATTATGACAGCATGGTGGAGAATGTAGAGAGGAAGATGTGCTTGTTGTGAGAGCCCAAAGTGAATGTGTAGAGTTGAGTGTGAGGAGAGCAGACCAGGTCCTACTGACAACAAGGAATGGATGCAGTGAGCTCATTGCCTCTGGCACCAGAGGAAGTCTGTTTTTTATGTTTGTTTATGGGTTGTGTTTTATCTTACAGTTATGTTTGAACCTTGGAGATTTTCATAACCATTTAAGAATAGATGCTATTATTGTTGCTAAGACACGGGTTTCCGTTAGCTTAAAAGGGGAGGCGAGGTAAAATAAATAAAATAAATACACCCAGAGGTTTTGTTTTTTTTTTTTTTTTTCCCTCAAGTGATTTTTGTTTTGTTTTCTCAGCTCTTCAGGAAGCTGCAGCAAGGTTTGAAGAGTTAAAGGCCCAAAAAGAACTCAGACAGCTGCAGGAAGATCGAAAGAATGACAAGAAGCCACCACCTTATAAACATATAAAGGTTAGGGCACAAATCTTGGGACTCTGTGTTAGAATGACACTGTATGGCTCCCTTCTTTTCTTTGTTCAATTAAAAATGTAAACGAAGGTGCTTTGAGAGTTGAACATATAAAAGAAAAGCTACTTGATTGTCATTTCCAACCCAGTTGTGGTAGTCAGTGCTCTCCTTTTTAGCCTTGGCAGTGAGCCCCCTTCCCTGCTGGACCATCCCACTGTCCTTTGTCACTGTTCTGTGGCTTTGTGTCTGTGCGTTTTTAAAAACTTCGTAAATCATTGATTTCCTTCCTCCAAAGTGATTATTTATGTATATTAGCTTATATGGCATCCTCTTGTGTCAGACCCTGCCTAAAATTCTTTTGGCCTAGCAACTTTGAAATTTATTTTTCCCCTAGTGCTAGAGTTTATAGGCAAGCATTTAATTTGGAGATGGGGTCTCGGTTGTCTGGGCTTGCCTTTAACTTGTGATCTGTCTTAGTCTCTCCAGTAGCTGTGATTAAAGACATAGACACACACCTACCTTGGAAAGTGTATCATCTAACTTGTAGGAAGTGACATTTGCCTCTTCACAATTCTGAACAGTTTCTGTTGACTTGCCTAACTCTGTGTACTTCTCCAGGTGAACCGTCCTATCGGCAGGGTGCAGATCTTCACTGCAGACTTGTCAGAAATTCCCCGTTGCAACTGTAAAGCTACTGATGAGAACCCCTGTGGCATCGACTCCGAGTGCATCAACCGGATGCTGCTGTATGAGTGCCATCCCACAGTGTGCCCTGCCGGGGGCCGCTGTCAGAACCAGTGCTTCAGCAAGCGCCAGTATCCCGATGTTGAGATCTTCCGCACCTTACAGAGGGGCTGGGGTCTCCGGACGAAAACAGACATCAAAAAGGTAAAGAGACATTTAAATTATGAGATGTTGTAAATGGCTTGCTATAATTGCTTTCTTCTTGATGAATGTGAGAACTTATTATATAGATAACACACAGTTAGGGATTGTAATGAGCTACGAAGTGTAGAGGCTTGGGAATGATCTTGTCATCCAAAATCCTTACATTGGTCGTGTTCAGTATATAGAATGATAAAATAAGAAATTCATAGAGATGTTATGAGATTATTTGCTCCTGTAAAATTCTTGAGCCAGTAGTAAAGATAAGGAAAAGAGATGGTTATAGTTGTTTAATAAAATATTTTAGTGGGGAGGAAACAGTTTGGGTTTACTAAGTGTGACAAGCAATATTGAACTTTTCCCAGTGAAATGTCTTCAACTTGAAATGTGGAGGGCCTCCACCACCTCCTTCTTCATTTAAACCAAGTTAAGAGTTCATTAAGAGGTTCTAATACTTTTAAGCACTAGAATTTTGAGAAAGTATTTGGGAAGGAAGTGAAACACACCCAGGAATGTAGGTGTAGGCTTTCCAAGGGGACTTGCCAGCTTCTTCAATATTAACAGATAAGTGTGTGTGTGTGTGTGTGTGTGTGTGTGTGTGTGTGTGTGTGTGTG